GAAATTATGAATCATACCAGTTTCATTCAATGACATAAAGTTTAAGTTTACAAAGTTGAACTTCAAACAAACAAACAAACCAAGGTACTGGATTCAAAGAATAAAAAAACTATTCAGTGTTGTATATATTTCACTAATGAATATTTACATTATTCTAAGTTATCAACATTCTATTTGATTAACTAGATTATATAGATTAATTGTAATATAAAATTAGTTTATATCACATTTAGATATCGGCTTAATGACTAATAAAAAACTAGGGGGAATTGTCTGACTTTTACTTATTTCGTACTGTTAGTTAACGCTGTACAATGATAAATGTTAAAGTATATGTAATCATAACTGTTCACCATTAAAATAAATGTTGAGATGGTAGAGAAGAATTGTAGATTAGGTGGGTAATTTTGATGGGGTTTTGTTCTTTGAGCTGGATGATTTGGTTGTGAAGCTTTCATCGTTCTTCTGAACGACATCATCAGCATAAACTACCTGAAGTTTATAGTACTTAATACTGTGGAATAAACTATCTTATTCTGCTTCTTTTGTTGTGTTTTTTTAGATTGCTACCGCTGAAAATTTCAGAGGGTATTTGATGAAACGATGTGTTTGTGTATGTGTCAGACATTTTCGAATTCTAACTTTTATTTAGGCTATTTAAATTTATATTTCGAGTAAGTTTTCATTCTTCCCGTTAATGATGCTAACATACTTCATTAACTATTCCTTAAGTGATCATTGAAAACGTTTTATATGCATGCGTAATATATTAATCTTTTGAGGTCATCAATTATGTAAAAGTTATGGAAAAACTTGAGTCCTTAACTATTAATTCTCATTTTGAAGGTCAAGTAATTTGGGAATAGTTTACTTTTTTGTGTGAATTTACTGTAAAACATTTTATAACTATCATCAAAGAAATTTCTTATTACAGAAGAAATTATAATACCGCAATCAAAGAAAAAATAACTATATAGAGTGAATAAAGAAAAAAATAGGTTACTGTTGTTCTCATTACACAAGTGTTTATTAACAACTCTCTATGCAAAATAATTCGGATCCGTTGATCAGACAATATCAGTAACAACCTACTGTGCAACAGAGCAAACCATATACCAATGGAGGAAGAAATCAGGAAGAAGCGCTGGGAGTGGATAGGACACACATTGTGAAAATCACCCAACTGCATCACAAGACAAGCCCTCACATGTAATCCTCAAGGCCAAAGGAGAAGAGGAAGACCTAAGAACACATTACAACGAAAGATGGAGACAGATATGAAAAGAATGAACAAGAATTGTATATAAAATAGAAATGAATGAGTATGACAGAGTGGGTTGTAGAATGCTGGTCGGTGATCTATGCTCCATCGGGGGTAATATGCGTAAGTAACATCCTAATATATACATATATGTGAACAAATAATTGTACATATCCAATAGTTAGTTTACACTTTAATGGCTTCACCATTATAATTTACTGCATACATTTTAACAATGTGTATTGCACTTATGATATTTAGTTATTTCCACTAGTGCACTGTTATGTTGACTGAAAATGATAATAACGAGAGTTTACCATAGTTTAATTTGAAAAGATACATAATAAACAACATCAGTTCCAACGAAAAATCGACACAGAGATTGAAGAGTTACAGAGTTCACATTACATGTGATTTATATCTATTTGTAAAGCTAAACACTATTCTATACGTTAAGTTGGTGGATAAAATTATGAATAATAAAAGAATTAAGAATCCTGACTATAAGATTACTAAATTCATACATTTGATAAGTTATTGGATTTTTACTTCAGATCAGTTGATTTATTTCAAATTAGTCCGAACTCTGCATTTTTTGACCATATATAAACATTGAATATATATATTCCTTTATATAAGCCATTAAAAGATGGTTTTCAACAAGAATTGTTTTGTTATCAATAAACTTGGAGTAAAATAATAAAAACATATGAGATATCTACATACTGTACAATATATCAGCCGTTTCTACAAATGGTCATAAGATAATTAATGTCAATTGCTGACTAACCATTGTAAATTGAGCTTATAAATTCACAAACTTAAGTCGATAACAATAGACATTACCCAGTTACAAGAAAATACCATATAAATAACTGATTTGCTAACCAAATTTCCAAATTTTTACATGCATACATCGGAATCTATACATGTGTATATCTTTACATACATGCATATATATATATATATATATAAATATATATATATTAAGGTTCGAGGTCATAGATTTCTCAAAACAGTACCCATGATATATTTATTCATGAATTATTATACAATCGTATATCTAGTATGTCATCATCTTACATTGAAGTCACTTGTTGTAAATCACCTTCAAACTATATTATCTTCTTAGATGGTTTTCCGATTTTGTAGTGCGACCACACACTTTAATTAACCTAATTTCACTGTTACATTCTATAAGTTTATCTAATCAAGTCTCATCAATAATGAAGTTAATTGTTTAGCCCAATCGGAGATCTCATGCATAACGAAATTGTCTCACAAACTAAACGACAAACCTTTACAAACAACGCGACATGCTAATCTTACATGTTTGTGAATATATATGTATATATGTAGACACAGTGACGAAATACCACAGCTAGATGATATAACATAAATACAATGAATCATAAACATTCATTCGAATAAAACCACCAATACAAACAATATCAGACAATCAACTCAATATTCTTTTTTTTGTCATTGTTATTGTTGTTTAAAAGAGAACAAACGTGATAAAACAAAACATTTCAGAAAGGAAAACATACAGATAAATTAACATTTTTAAAATCTTTTTTCTCTTTCTGTTCTGATCAAGTTTAAATATATATATAAATATAAATATATTTATATAATAGTTATCATCAGTATGGTCGTTGTTGTCACTGTTATTCATTTATTTATTTTCTTCTTGATTGTCTTTACTGTGCATAGATATTTTTTTCCAAAACAGACAGAACCAGATTCACAAAATACAGTTAATTCAAAAGAGTAAGGTGTTCTTATTTTTTTTTAAAAAAAAAAGGGGGAGAAACATAGGAGAAAATACAAATACTTCAAGGTTTTGTTTGTCTCGTTCAAGAAAGTAAATGTGTAGTGATAATGATGGTAATAATCATTAAGGCATGCTTATTTATGTTTATATATATATATATATGTATATGTATATGTATATATAAACAAACAGTAATAATACTCAGTTATGAATATTATTCATTTGTTTATTAATTTGATTGAGCAAATGATTGATCATACTTATTAATTGGTTATTTAATTATTTAATTAGTTAGTTACTAGAATTATTTCCTTATGCATTTATATGACAAAATTATGCATAATAAATACAGATAATCAATATATATATATATATATATTTTGTGAAACAATAAAGAATTATTACTCGTTGTTTGTCATTTCTCTTAGATATAATCTTGAATATGTTTTTTTATATTTTTTTATTTTGTGTTTAAATAGATTGTCATATGCTTGTTTACATGTAATTTATCATTTGATTGTGCAATATACATGATATATATAAGATGCATTGAATAATGGAAAGTTTATAAATGAATAGGGGTGGGGGAATGAGATTTTTATAAACCAGTGAAATTGAATTAAGTAGTAATAAGTAATATAATGAACTGTTTTTCCATATTTTTTTGTTTGAAAAAAAGACAAACTAGATTTTATTACATATATCAGTATTACTACTCAGGTTTATATTGTTATAAAGGCAATATATATTAAAGTGACTGATTGAATTGTTTTCTTTTGATTATTCATTTATTAATACTTAATTATAGTTAAACTTGAATGATTGAAATAAACATTGGTTTGATATAACTATAAAGTATATGCAAAACAATATATTATTTCCCTTTTCTTTTTAAATCTTCAATTATTATCATACAGATTAATTTAATTATTATTGTTCAATGATTTTGTTAAAATTTCATTTTACATTAGATTGTCATTTTAACAAAATAATCACAAGGAAATGAAAAAGAGTCAAATTAATCAATACGAATAAAATAAGAACCAAAAGAAGTAAGTCATACCAAAATAACTCCAGGAGAAGTAATATATATATATATATATATATATATATATATATATTCAATTAACTTGCTAATCGTTAGGTTTCAAATTTGATGAGAAGGAGAAAGGACACCATAATTAAACAAATAATCCATTTACATTTGTAATTTATGTACTATACAATATGAAAAATACACACATATAATGATATTTGTGTAGGTAGATTGAGAAAGCATTGGATAATTCAAAGGGTATAATTAATAATGTTTTAGTTCATAACAACAACAACAAAAAATAATAAATAAAAATAACTGCTGTCTTTCATTTAGTTTTTTTATTACACAAAATGATCGCATAAAAATTAACATCAGTAATAATTGAAGGTAAATGAGCACTGATAATAAGAGGGAAAGTTAATTGAACATGTAATACAAAAAAAAAAGAATGAAAATTAGAAAAAATTTGGGGGCCCAGAAACATTTTAACTGTTAAAAAATATATTTTAAAGAGAAAAAGTGATGACAATTCAAGTCTTTAAATGTAACGATTTGAAATAAAATATTTTGAACTACATGAATGTAGGCACATACAAATATACATAGAAACACAAATTCTATAGAATAACAGACAACAAATAAACACACCATTAGTTGAAAAATGAAAGGATAAAGTAGATATGATTGAAGTAAGAATGTGAAAGAATAACGAATGAAGAAGAAAACAATTGATGTGATGCATAGAATTTGTAGAAACCAAGTGATAAACATGCAATGCAATAAACGAAAATGAAACATTAACTCCGATTTTGGGCAATGAATAATGTCGAGATATTTTATTTGAAATAGTTTGCATAAAACACAGCAAAAATAAACGTGTTCATTGCTTTTTCAAATTCGATAGAAGTGCGCCAATATATATATATATATATATATATATATATTTGTATACCCATTAAGAAGATAGATATTACATTTTCACTGAGTTATGACTATTATAAATAACATTATTTTTAGGTCATGGAGATTACATTAGCATATGGAGGAAGAATAGCAGTTGGAGGTAAGAAGACTGAGAGGGGTTGTGATAGAGGACACTCACCTGGAGATAGATAATAGCCAGGTAAGTAAGCATAGGCACTTGGTTGACGTGCTGTAATTGGTGATGTTGCTGTTAATGTATATGAAGCAGCAGCAGCTGCTGCAGCCGCCGCTGCAGCTCCATTCAACTGAGCAGGAAGAAAATGTGCTAAAATAATTTTAAAATATGAAAATCAAATATTTATTAGCCTAATAGGATATCATGAAATCATTTCTCAAATATATGCATATCAAAACTTAGAAAACAAAGCGGTTGATTTTAGAATATAAAACTGAACTGTTTTGGTTCTGAAGGTGAATTTAAGGTTAATTTTATCTTGTAAACTGAATATGTTCACAAATACAGCACATTAGTATTACAAATTTAAAGGTTACTGTACATTTAATGAAAATTATCTCGAAATGTTTGAATAAATACTCTTTTATATGTTATATTTACTTTAGGTTATTTACTAGGACAGCTGAATACAGATTCATTTAATGCGTGCAACTGATATAAAATGGATGTCTAAGCTGAATTCGATGAAAGAGATTCAAATCCAAATCGATCAGGGAGCTTTAGTTCCATTAAGGTTACATATACACCTTGTTGATGAGTGTCAACTAGCACGAAACCTAGGTTCACGGTTTCATGCTGACTACTTCCAACTACCATCTTATCTCAACATAGTGCACGCAATGTAGATCCATCCAGACTAGTGACCACATTTCAACTTGGTCGAGAGGATTAGATCTGCAATAAGAACGACCTGACATACATGACATCGATCACCACCAGTGATCAATCAAATGTCAGAAAGCAATTGGATAATGTTATGACAAACTGTAATTTTGTTATTATTATTATTAATATGTGATTATACAGCATTGGTCAACAAAACATAATAATGATAGGATATTAAGCATGGAAGTAACAACTTACAAATTGGAGCACGAATAAACTGATGTCGTTGCTTAATCAAGGAATTATTTGTACTCATCACTTCTTTTGGAACGGCCTTTTTAGCTTCAACCTATCCGAAATTGAGTTTTTGTGTAGAATAAAAATAGAAATAAATATTTTCATTTGGGAGTTTGACTAAAAAGCAATAAATAATCGGGTTTTTTCCTTCTCTAAATATCGTTAATAAAAATTACATAGGTTTATTAGCTATCAATAAAAAGAATTAGTTTTTAGATATAAAAATTTCTGTAGTTTGTTTATCCTAAATTCAATGAAATTGTTATATTATTGATGGTATTACATTTTTATACATGAATCAAACTCGTGTCAGGAATGTTACAGTTGGTCAATGATAGTATGAAGTGAGCTACTTATATCCACATAAGCAGTATATTACGATGATCGGACATAGAATGTATTTCAATGAAGATCGAGAGGGAAAGAACGGGAACAGAGAATAATTGGTAGGAAAATGCATGAAAAATGAAATCTGTAACGATGGACTGGGATTTGCAAAAGGGACAGTCAAGTTTGAGACGATTGATTGATATTTTTCAAATTAACTATTCACTGTATGGCTCTCAGATTTTAGTGAGATGTTCTGTAATTTTGTGCTCAAATACATTCGATTGTCCATACTCGTGTTCTCGTTCATGACAATAGTAATGAATGATTTCGTACAATCCTTGTAGGAAATAATTGCATTCAGATACATGAACTAATGAATTATTATTTATTAACTTGACAATGTTGTAAGTGATTTCAGGCATACAGCTGATAGGGAATAATTTAACAAAACTGATTCAAACTAGAGATAGATAGATATCTTAAGTGTACATCTGATTTGAAATTATTATCTAAATGACATCAGTATATGATAAATAAATCATCCACCTGAACTACAAATCTTCTCCACTATCTCATAAAAATCATCTTTTAAATGAATTTGATTTTCACAAACCATGTAAATAAATATTTCGATTCAATGAATTGAAAAAAAATCACCGTTTCTGTATTACAGAGAAGAGAGTGCTAAACTGTTGATTAGAATATGATTTATTTCATAGAATAATAAATATACTACTAATGTCATTAAATATCAGCATATTTAACTAAAACATACTAATGATGAAAATTATTCGTCATACATATTTTCACATGGTAGCAATTAAGATTTTCCTATTTGACATGGTTTTATTGAAGGAGAAATTTTAAATATCAGACGATTTGTTTGCATACAGGAATGGTACAAAGTGATAAGTGAAGTTTATTTTAGAACAAAAAGATCAAACATTTACAATTATATATTTTACAATTCAGCAATCATTACTACTTAACGACTATCATGTAGACATGTTTGCGGAGGTTTAAACACAAACAAAATGTATGCCGTTATAATTAAATATTGTTTTCGTTCAGGATAAATTTGTTCTTGGTACACTTGTCTCAATCAAGCTTGTCGTTTACTTCAGGAAAGAATGTTTGACAACGTATGATGACTTAAGATTGAAATAGCGAAAATTTAAAAGCTTTTAATTAGGGGTTAGATGATTTCACCATAACATGAATCTGAGGGGAGTTATGGTCAATCCCATCTAATTTTATGGAGAACTGAATATATTAATTCCTTCAAATTGTTTAGTTATTATCATTAGAGGGATATAGATTGGATTTAAGTCTTTTCCGTGTAGGATTGTGTTGGAGCTATTTCTTAGCCAATTGGTGCTAGTGAATTCTTGGAGAACACTCTAAAATCTTTTGTAAAAAATATAAATATACTAACGTTTTTCTTATGGTGATTCCTACTTTCATTTAACCTTGTTTAATTATAATATAATTATGTTCTTGTTCAACTGTGTTCTGATTTATGGACTTGTCGAGTGAAGTAGTTAGAAAGAAAACTAAACGATAAGAGTGGTTAAACCGTAATAAGGAAACTCATAACAAATGATAATGAACATTAACTCCATAGTTTCACTTTGTATTCATAAAATAATTCTGTTCATTTTAAGCATTTTCTGATGACGTCAAAATTTAAACGTCAGTTTTCTAACATATACATTTTTTGGTCAATTATGCAAATAGATAAGAAATACAAATGAATAGTTGTTTGAGGTGACAATAGAAACAGAACATAAATTGTATTGGCATTATATACAAGAAGTAAGTTAAGATTGATTCAAAAACTGTCATTGTTACTATTACATAAAATTTCAACTATAAATTAAATAGTATTTGGTTAATTCTAATACTAGTTCTAATGATAATCAGGATGTATGAGTATAGTTAGTCAAATTAAATAAATGGTACTATGTACTAAACAGTGAAACCATTCTTCCATCCTTTCTTCTTCTGTCTTAGCAACTAGTTAGTACTACAATCCCTTACACAAGCAGTATATATTAAAGTTGGATATTTGAACCTGAACTTTAGTCAAAATGTGATTTTACTAACTAATCGCTGATACAAATTATTAACTAATGTTGGTGTATTCTTTTTATTTATATGAAATTCCAGAACATATCGTTGAAATTAATGGGGGACAGGTAAGATATTTTGTAGTTTATAAATTTTATTTACTTGTCATTGATGTTAATACTACTGACAATTGAACTTATTACTCTAAAAAATTAATAGACAAAATGTTATTCTACAGGACATAAAAGCACTTGAGAAGTAATATAAGAGTATAGACTAGTCACACTAAGAATGTGGACTAATGAGGCTTCAAACATCAACATATTACTCTACTAATAAAATATGGAGTAATTTCATTATGTTGCAAAATAATCTTCAATTCGCATCTGTGTGTTATATTGATTAACTGCAGAATTATGTTTAAAGCTTTTAGGTTAATCTAGTCCTAACTGGTACCATGAAAACATCTGAATAAAACGATGATTATCAGAATGGGTTTTGTGGAGAGTTTTCAGAAATTTCATAGGTTGAAATCATGAGTCGATTGAAGCTAGACCACCATGGAAAATCTGGGAGCACTGGACGGCCATTTCGTCCCAGTATGGGACTCCTCAGCAGTGCGCATCCACGATCCCGCACCAAGCGGGTTTCAAACCCAGGACCTACTGGCTTCGCGCGCGAGCACTTAACCACTAGACTACTGAGCTGGCACCCGACGGTGGTGTGGGATCGTGGATGCACACTGCTGAGGAGTCCCATACTAGGAAGAAACGGCCGTCCAGTGCTTCCAGGTTTTCAGTGGTGATCTATCTTCAGTCGACTCATGATTTCAACCTATGAAAACGATGATTTCCAAAAGTTGCCATCTTTCTAATCATTAAAATGACACTAGTCTGTATGATATGTAGTGATGTTACTAATCTGATCTAGATTTCATTCGATAAAGTTTTCATCCTCTTTATCATTTCGAACGACTTCGTTCTAAAAAATAAGTGGTTAGTTGATAATTGTTAATCTTTAATATTTCAAGTACTTCATTTTTCATAGATTGACTAACTTTAAGAAAATTGCTAAATTTGATTTAAACAAAAAAGATGAAATAAATTCATTTTAATCCTATAAAATTTATTTCAAGAAAGATTCTTAAAAAAATGTATTGAAGTATAAAAGCTCAAGGTGTATAGACGAATTGAATATAAAAGTGTGAAATTCACAAAAAACATTTATGAAATAATGCAATTTATTTTCGGTCAAGGTCATCTCATTTGAATATTCAACCGAAATATATATTTATTCAATCGTATCTAAGCAACAAGAATATAAACTTTGCGTAATTATGAATGGATGAATTGAAATTGATTTTGTAAAAAGAACATAGTGAATTGTTTGATTAGATACGCATTTATTTCTTCATTATAATTATGACTTATATATAAGTTTATAAAGATTACGAATAAGTATTACATATGAGTATAATACCAAGGTTCAATAGTTTCTGCTAACTGCTTGCAAACACTTTACATGTCATGCGAAATAAATATCCATTTAGTTATTAATCTAAAAAAAGACTTTTCTGCATGAATAATAGTGAGGTCAGTTTCTTAGATGTCATAGAGAGATATGTTTTTTTTCTTACTTTTAACTACAAATTACGAATCCAAACTAGATAACAGACTTGGATGAATCACTAGATAATTGTCTTTATAATGGTCTTGACCATAGTATTGTTAGTCAAATATAGTATATCTATACATCAAAGTACTGTGTTAAAACAACAAATAATTACAAATATCTAATCATTTGCACAAACTAGATCTTTTTAATCAGCTGAAAAAAATCATGTTCTTCTTCATAAAAGAAACGAAAGAGTCTTTACTACTTTTATGTAAAGTAAAACTTACAATACAATATTTACAATAAGAAAAAGCATAAGGAAAATGAGTAACATGATAAACAAGGAACAAAAGGTGAATGAAAACATAGGAGAAACAAATCAAAAACAATAAATATTTCGTAAAAATGGAAGATGGATGATATATACATTCATAGTTGAAAAAATACGATATAACAATAATGCCTTTCATTCTGTCTTTAGGTTTCATCATAAGCTTGTCCTTAGATTAAATAAACGTCAACATTTTTCTGTCTAGATTTAAGGGTCAGTTAAATGAATTTCTGCCAAGTTTTCTTCTTTATATAGATATACATATATATGTTAACTCTGAGGTTGTTTGTATATATATTTTTGTATGTATATACTTACTGATATATAAATAATAATCCTTTAATGTTTGTGTGGTATAGTTCTAATCGATAAAATAGTTTCCAATGAAGTAAAACTTTTTCTTCGTTTGAACCATGTCAAAATGATGATAAAGTTGAAAAATGAGAGAAAGTCTTTCTTAAATTTACTAAATGAAAATAGTATAATCGATTTTCATTTGGGTTACACATTTGCAGTTATCATGCCTTGGTAGCTATTTTGTCATTTAGACACTCAAGCTCAAGCAAATAACTTTTAATTTCTTTATTTATGCTTAACTGTATCTCATGAAAATAGACTAATCATTAAAACAATAATCAGCTCACTGTAATGAAGTGCTCACAGATGAACTTATCTAAAGCGTTACACAATAAGTTGAAGAGATTTCTCTATAGTTTTTAGTCTGAGCTGAAATATACAATTACTATGTCAAAAGAGGTCCAATAATATTGTATAGTACAGGAAATTAATAATGAAGTATAAAATAATTCCCTCATGTTATTTTTCGATAACTACTGAATCGATACGGTTAATTGATATCAAGTTCAAGATGTGACGCAAATAAGTATAACTTTGTATTATCTGTTTAGGTGTTGTGGAGATTGTCAAGTTTCTAATTGAAATCATGAACCGATCGTTGTTAGACCACCCTAAACTGATAATTACCATGCGCTTACTAGTGACTAGCTTCGTGAGAAAATTCTCGGAGTTCTGGTGAGAAGCCGTCACCAGTGGAGCTAATCCGTTTCGGCTAGAAACAGGTGTCTACCTCAGTACAATGGAAGATGGTCGCGTAACTTTATGGAATGTTTGAGGTTAGACATTGACACCATCGGATGGCGGCCTAGTGGTCCAGTACGTTAAGCGTTCGCGCGCGAGAATGAAGGCCCTGGGTTCGAATCCCGAGAGCGAGATCGTGGACGCGCACTGCTGAAGAGTCCCACAATAGGACGAAACGGCCGTCCAGTGCTTCCAGGTTTTCAATGGTGGTCTTACACCAATGGGTTCATGATCTCAACTAAAAACTTCGCATTAGTTCACTTTACATCACCACTGTGAGAAAAAATTACCGATAAGAATACTAGAATAGAAAATAAGACAGAATTTGAAGGGAAATCAGGTATGGAAAATTCGGTTTAAAATGAACAGACTGAGTAAAGAAATGAAGAACGTTGATCTTATCATAATCAAAATTTAAAGGGAAACCAATGAACTAATGAGGCTTTATGTTCATCAAAATTCTCAGGCTTTGTTTTCTGATTAGTGAGCAACATTATGCTGATCTAGTTTTTTTAGTGTCGATATATTTCTACAAATCATGTTGTGAACGATGGTAAGATTTTAAGTGATTCGAAGTAGTCAACGTAGTCAACCCTGTATGACCTAGATTATATGCTAGTTACCAATTTCTAGGATGACGTGCGTATAATTTTGAAGGAACTGATGTTTCCTATTAGTTTTAAATTCACATCACCCAGCTTCACAGTGTGAGACGTTACTATTGAGCTATTCGGAATACTCATACCGGATTATTTGTTGTTCTTTTTCGTGTTGCCTGATTAATTGTTATGTGTAATGTTAACGCTAGTGTACAAAAAAGTTTGAATTTAAAAATGCGTAAGTACATTTATATATATTCGAGTAGAAAAAAAAAGGAAACTAAAATGAAGTTTTTATATGCATTGAAACTTACCATTTTATTATGCAAATCATGGAAATGAATTTCACAAACTTTTTCAGCTGATTCTTCTGATTCGAAAGTAACAAATCCAAAGCCTGAAAATAATTCATATGAATTCAAGTTAATTTTCTTTAAAGCTCTATGATTAGATACAAAATATTTTGTATATATTTACAAAGTAGAGTATTTATTTATTTTTCTAAGAAACAATTAAAATCACAACGGAATACATTATGTTTTAGAAAAATATAATGATAACTTATATTCATATTTCAAATGAATATTAGAAACTGATTCTAATGCAGTGCGCTCACAAATACCCTGATACAACAGAGAGTGTGGAGGGTCTGTACTCCTTCTCGAAATGCTCTCATATGGTTCATATAACCACTGATGGAGAAGTCCAACTCACTGCCTTCTTACGGCGGGGGTGTCGTTTACGATAATAAGAGGACGAAAAGCGAATGTCCGGCGCTCTAACCGGGTTGGTGGACACGGAGGATCCACCTAGGATAGTTGGAAAACCCTGATTTAAAACCAATAGTGCATATGGGCTCCAAGATCCTGAAGGGACAAATGCCGTATGAACCAATTGTTGGTCACCGGCTACCATAGGACTGCATCTCCTGACGTTGCTTCACTGCCTTAAGGATTAGACCTTTGTATCAAATGCCCAGGGTATGGCTCCTTAGGAAACTACCTGCTTCGTTCTGGGCGCCCAAACAGTATCACAGCCCACACACAGATCAATTGACTTGTGTAACGAATATATGTATTCGATGCCCATTTGTATTAAGATTTATGTGTTCAAATAAATAAATAAACTATTATGATGCATTAAAATATTGGATATTTACAGTTGTAACTGGTATCTTTACAAATCACTTTGAAATTGGTAGTTAAAAATTCATAACTTAATTTAAACATTGAATGTTCAGATAAAGTTTATTGACACTTTAAATGAATATAAGATTAATAAAATCATTCATTCTCTTCAACCTAATCACAAGAGTTTTTGTGATCACATTTTTTTCTATTATGCCTCTGAATAATCAGTTTTTTTTAGGAAACTAATAATTCAAGTCTAGTTTTGTACTATTTATCTATTGAATTAGTCAACTAGTTAGTTGAAGTTGTTTATTTGCTAGTTAAACTTACATATTTTGTAAACGAAACTTAATAAGTACACAGAAAGACATTTTTTTAGAAAGTAAAAAGAAATAGAAGCTTAACAGTGCATTATATATATATACAAAGGAATGCACCTTATGCTTTGTCCTTTACACATCGATGTGATTACAATAAGATATTTGATGAATTAGGCCAGTGCAAAAATAATACTCCCCACTGAGAATATTGATCAAAGATTTCTAAGTGCAATTACTTAAATATTTATATTATAGTTTTATTCGTTCATTAGAATAACATAGAATTCTATCTGAAAATAATCTTCTTGATTATATTGATCACAAGAGGAGATAATTAATTAATTAATTGTATTGATTTCAAAGTTACAATTTAAGTCAATCTAATATCTTAGTTTTTATTTTATCTGATATAAGTGTTATACTTGATCAAGGATCACTAGACAGTTACTTAGACTTAGTCTATGAACCTTTAGTCCACTTTTGAAGGTCACAGTTAAAATATTATGGCAAAGGCAGAACTAAAGATCGATTAACAACTTCATTTTATTATAGCTCAGCTGGTGGAAGACAAAACATTAAGCTAAGAATAAATAGAGCGATAAAAGTTCTTTTTAGTTAGTTTTTCATCATGGCTCTACACTAATAATATATATGTAAGATTTACAACAGTGAAATAATTCTCATCGAGTGGTTGCGTTGCATAACAATTATATAATGTTGTATTGATTATAAAATAATATTGAGTAACTTGAAGAAAGAGGATGATAGTAATCAAAGTAACTATTTGGAAATTAAACAGTTATGTATTGTGCAATATGGCAAATGTTTGATTTCCAAATACTTACTCCATATTGCATGATACATAACTGCTACTCAAAATTATTTTATAATCAATGCAACATTATATAATTGTTATGTAACACAACCACTCGATGAGAATTATTTCACTGTTGTAAATCATACATATATATTAGCGTAGAGCCATGATGGTAAACTAACTAAAAAGAAATTTCTTCACTTTATTCGTTCTTTTTACTCTATGTTAAAATGAGAATTTTCACTGTACAAACTTAAGAATTGTTTTATATAGAGATCAGTTACAAAAGGGATTTTGTACCTCTTCTCGAGTTCTCCATATATTTCATTACTGTCTTACCTGTTGTTACATTATGGAGCCGGAACACCTATGTCACTAATTTACTCTAACTGCAAAGATATTAAAAACAAAGCAGTAAGAAATGACTATGGAACTTTGGTTTAGGATTCTATAGTGGTGAATACTCACAAACCAAGACTATTATGTTTAGAAGTAGCGGTGTTTTATTTGGATAATAAAGTATTTATTGTTTCATATCTCTACCTGTGTTCAGTTCATTACATGCAACAGCGATCAGTAACGTACACATTCAAAATAACTGTGAATTCGATAAGAATGCTACTGAGTGATTCAGACTGAGACCGTGAACCTCTATTATTAATTAGTGTATCTTATGACAACTAAACTAGGTATACTGAGAGAAATATTTGTTTAGCAGTTGAATTTCACCTTACCTCTATGTCGATTAGTTGACTTGTCCATCATTAATTCACATGATTCTAGCTGTTAGAAAAAATAAAAATGACAAATAATTGGGTCTGATTAAAACACCATGGTTTAGCAAAATAAAAATAGAAACAATTTAAAAGTAACTGGAAATAAAGAACTCAGCGAAGTGACGAGTAGAAATGTTCCTTGGTTTTTTTGAAAATTGAATAGTTAGTTTTAAAAAATGAATAGGGTACTTCAAATGAATTTCCAAAACAGGAAACATTTCAAAGTAATCGGTTAATTCAATTAAAAAGCGGGTTTAGTTCTATTATATATAAATTAGTGTACAGCTAATGGTCTAGCTTGGGATTAGTAACTAACTATACACTAATATTGATAATTACCATATAGTTTAACGACAGATAAACAAAAAGCCGTATTTATACCAAATATCTCTAGGTCTGATAACTTTTAGAGTAAGGGAATTCAAGTATGTTAGTCACTAAAACACAAGAAAACATATGGTGAACATTTCAAGACATTTTAGACTAATTATTAACATTCACTTGAAGGTTAAAAAAGACTCAATAATTCTGAACTCGCGATATATATCTTTTACAATGAGTTATAGATCGTGTTAGTTTGTGCGTTGTTACAGTCATGTTCAACATTTGTTTTAATTTTCAGTTGTAGCTTTTAATTCATTTTTTTATTGGTCGTTTGAACCTTCCAATCGATGTTTAGGACTGCAATTGGTCAGTCTCTTATTGGCATTTGTGCAGATTGCCTTGATATTGTCTTAAGTCACAAGCTCTATAAGCAGAGATGGACAGTAGGTAGCATTAAAATCGACTGTAAATGATAGGTAATTCAACCTCACAATGATCAAACTTTGTTATATCTGATAAGTCTATAATCACTGAAATGAAATTCTTAAAGAAATATATGAGTGTAATTGTCCAGTTGTTGTATAGACAGCCATTCTAATTGTATGTCAGTTATGTAGAAACTGGCTAAAAATGATAATTGATGAGAGATTTCGGTATAATGAGGATAAGTGGAATATAAAAAGGTTCTGTGGATAACTTACGTTTACATCTAAAACAATACTTTATCAACTCACAATGTAGGGTCAATCAGTTTACGTGGTCAAGGTGGAAGAATTGGATTTCCAACTCACGGTTTTTCCGGCAAATACATGTCAACGACAATTCGGTAGCTACGTGTTCATCAATTAGATAATTTTCGCTGGAATTCACCATTCTAAATTTTCATTGAAATCGTGAACCGATCAACGTTAAACAACCATTGAAAACGTGGAATTACTAGAGGGCCATTTGATACTAGTATGAGACCTCACAGCAGTGTACATCTACGACCACTCAAATGGAAATCAAACCCATGAATTTCGGTCTCCAGTACAAACGCTTAACTTTGAAATCATTGGCTAACATTCAACCGTGTTTATGTTTTACTTCATTTATTTTATTCATATGACGTGTTAGGATATTGAGACTTTTGTAATACAGCATAAAACTAGCTATCTTAGTGAACTTAAAGTGTTGGTCATTATAAAAAATTAATTTACAAATTTTATTCAACAACTTTCATAAGTCATTATCGTGAAAAAATGGCATAAGGTATATGTTCGTAAATGAACTGACCACATTCAGTTTTAAAAAAGATTTTATATCCTGCACTAGTAAGCAACAATAAAAGTGTAACACTCAAAGTGGAATATCATGAATCTATGAATAGTACGTGAATAATGCAGTATTTTATTGATATTTCAAAAAAAGATATTAAAATATTTATTATTTTCAGAAGGGGTATTATGGATATTGTAGTAATTTCAATGGTTGAGATCCTGGGTTCAAATCTTGCGGGAAGCGGGATCGAGGATACGCACTGCTGCGGAGTCCCATAATAGGATGAAACGGCCGTCCAGAGCTTCCAGGTTTTCCATGTTGGTCTAGCTTCAACTGACTCATGATTTCAACCATTGAAATTATTATTTATTAGGAAAATAATTAACATTTCTATTAATATCCCATATATATATATATTAATTTGATTGTTGATAAAATTTCTACCTATGTAAAACTTCCATAGTGACCATTTTTCATGATGTAATAAAGTCAATCAATTGAAAAAGTTTGAAGTAAATTTCGAAATAAGTGATCATAAAATGTTGAAAAAAAAGCCATTTTTTCTTAGAAAAGAATTCAAATTTACCCCCTTCTCAATTAGTATAAATAAAATGGTTGTTTGTGTTAGTACGAAGCGTTTTAGTCTAAATAGAATAATCTATGTTTCTATAGCAATGAAAAATTACAAGTAGAAGGATAAATAGAGAACGAGGTAGAAACAGAAACTAAGAGCATTTCTACGTATGTCTGTGTTCAAGCGATAAACTTAAATTAAAATGAGTGAAATAAGCGGCTCAGTTGAGTGAACTAAAGATCTCTTTACAAAAAAACAAACAAGTTAAGCACCCATAAGCTTTGGAAAATCCGTCGACCACTACATAAAACTACTGTTATTTGTCTGAAATCAAAAATAACTGACAAATTTTAGTTTGACGCTGATTTATCTATATGACGTATAAATAAATAGTAGGACGTAGAAAATCTAACGGCGTAATTCGTGTATTAACTAGTTAACAACATTAAATTAATTTACAAGGAATCAGTTGTCACGAAACTATCGATCAGTATTATTAAATTAAGACACACTAGATGATATGATCTTAGGTAAACATTAAAGAAAAATAGCTTTAACCGTCCATGATAGTAAAACACGATGTTTCCCTTTTCATCTGTTACAGCTAAGTCACTGGTAAAAATAATCAGATTATCTTCGCATATATATATAATGCGTAAATTAGATAAAAATTTGATAAGATGAATAACGTTCATTCTCTCATGGGAACATTAAGATTTACCAATTAAAAAAGGTTTGGTGAAAGAAGACCATTGAGTCAAATAAACATTGCTTCAAAGAAAAAAATTAAAGTTAGTTAAAAACGCTTTGAATTTATTGGAAAGAATAAATTTTCATTAAAATTCAGTAGTATATTATCAGTTATCATATAATAATTGTTACGATACTATTTTTTGTATGGGTATTCAGCCTTCTTTTTTTGAGTAATTGAATACCTATTCTTGATGAGAGCCATGTATATCACAATGCCCTCATCGATGGGTCATTTCCAAAATGATGGAAAAGAGAAAATTTGTAGGGAATCTGAAATTACAAAGAGATTTATTCTTACAGACAGACAGTCAATTAAGTAGTAATGTATTCGCTTTAATCCATAATACGAGTATGTATTTAATTCTATTGTACTTATTCACTATAGATTTAATAAGATAAATAATGAACAATATTAGCTTTTTACGGAAAAACAATTGACTCCTTACAGTTATATGGTACAATGATAATAATTAAGTACTGAGAGTATATCTGGACAAAGCAATCCATCTGATTATATCCTACAATCAGGTCTAATTTAACATTCATTATTAATTACAAACTTTATAAACACTGAACTCAATCAACATAACAAGCTTTCTTCTGATATTTTGATTAGCAATCGCACACTCAATTAAATTACAATGAAAATGAGAATAGGAATGATTTTCATAAATACTAAGAGAATATATATCTATATAGAGATTTATACAGAGTAAATCGAATTTTTCCTTGCTTATTATATAAGTTGTGAGAATTAATTATTAATCACAGCGGGTGGTAAACGTAGATGTATGTATGAGTATAAATATATAAATATAGTGTACCCGTTTTTGAGAAAATTCCCAAATGATTTGCAAAAATAAATTGAAGCGTGAACTTGTATACACAATAATGATGAATTCGGTATTTATATATATAGATTGACCTGATATCAAGGAATTTCTATTATTTAGCCTTTCTGTTTTACACGCAGTTCATAAAATTCTAGTTACTTTTATCTGTGAACTATCCAATCTAATCATTTATGTAAGGTAAAATACAATGTTTCATCATACTTTAATTAAGCTATTGATAATAGTATCAGTAATAATTTGAGCATTGTGTATCAACTCCATCAAGAACAAAGAAACATTAGTGTAACAGATAATTTTCCTAATATTTTTATTCCTCTCCTACATGTATGTGATTCAAGTTCTCAATTATATTAATCATAATCATAATAATAGTAATAACTAGTAATAACCAATTAAATTCTATCCTCATTTGTTTTAACCACATCTATGTATAATCCCAATAATTTAATTGAATAATTGATGCAAAAAACAAAGCCCAGAAATCAAAAGGAAACCTTTTAACAGCTTTACATATAGAGACAACATGAATGTATGAATGAATGAGATTTAAACCTAATTCGCAGTGTAATTTTCTGGTTGAGTTAATATGTTTACTCAATTACTTCAAGAGTTTACTTCTGTTACAGACATTGAATCTTTCAGCTAAAGTGATTTTATTCAAGACTCTGTAACTAAATAGTTTTAGACATATTTAAATCTTAAAAAAATTTTTTTTGGTTTCCTTTTAATTTGACAAAGTAGATAAAATTGTTATCATTCAATAACTGACTATATATTACTGGATTAAGTAAACTACAAGGACAGTAAACAGAAACCATTAACATATTTATCGATCTTTATTCTCTGGTTGAAATCATGAGTCAATTGAAGCTAGACCACCATGGAAAACTTGGAAGCACTGGACAGCCGTTTCGTCCTAGTATGGGACTCCTCAGATTACATTTCATTATTTCTGTTCTTGACATAATAAGTAAAAGATAGAAATCTTACACGATCATTTTTTTCTTTTATATACAGTTAATAAAAATTATATGAACCATATAACTCAGTGGTCAATATAAGATCAAGTTTAAACTGTGAAATGATTGCTTCAAACTTTAATTTACAATGATTTATTAAATACATTCATGTTTACAGGGTTACAATTACTCTTTAAATGAAAAATCTACAAATAATTTTAAGTCATTAGTCTTTATGATCTCATCGAGTAAAGTCACTTCATTCAGGTAGATGGAAGGATAAACTTTTAACAGATTAATTGTTGATGGTTCATTTAAAGAAAATTGTTGTTTTCAGTAGTATATTTATTATATAAATGAACAGAAGATAAATTTTAAAAAATGACTTAAAATATCTAATACATTGTAAACCTATGTGAAATATGATGTAAAACCTATGTGTTATATGGGTTAAATGATTGATTTTAAAAAAGAAAGGAAAATATTATTTTCCCATAATATTAAGCGAATAGATTTATTTGAGACGGTGAAACATTTCATTCTGTCAAACTGTAGATAATTGTAATAAACCACAAACCACTTTTCTGACTTAACCTTTCCATCAGTTTTTAAAATCTTATTGGAAGGAAAAAACAACTGTTAACATTATCAATAGCACTTAAATTACACTAGAGATATCTATTCTGTACAATTTCAATAAATGTAAGTTGACTGAATGAAAATGCATAATTTATTTCTGTCAAGTTGTGAATTACTATGAAACGAGGACATATGAGATCAACATACTTATGTACACTTATGCGACAGTTATGTTAAAACATTAATTGCTTTAATACAGCGTATTATAAGCCCAAATAACAGCGACTAAGGATTTTACGATTATGCTATTCTAAATTACAAAAAAACTATATATATATATATATACAGAGGGAGGGAGAGAGAGAAAGAGAATGAAGCAGAGAGATCAATATGTCGTCGTACATAAATAACAGTTCAGGAAGTTGATTAAGAGATCAGTTATTCATATTGTATTTTCTTGTAACCTATGTTTAAAACAAAGAGCAGGATAAATAGTAAACATAGTTATGCTGATGTTAAAAACTTTGACAAAAATCAACCAAAGTTATGAATAGCTGGTTACAATTACAATATGTATCCCAACCAGGAAACTGTGTCTGCCTAAGTGATTTATATTCTTATTCTGGTACATGTTTCTTTTTAAAAAATTTTCTCCTCTATTAGAATAGTAAGCAGTGAGTTGTTTGTCGTACACAACAAATCTTCTAAATACACTAATAATAGATTTTCCATAACATTATGATTTAATTTCTAGTATGCGTCAACTACTCTAAATTAAACATCACATATTGAAGAAACTGGATTAAAGCTATGCTTGGAAGAAATTTACGAAATAATACGTGTACATTACGTGTGTTTAGTGACACTGTTAATTTAGCGTAATGATGGAAGTCAGCAAAGTAGAATTCCTTCCTAGTCACTCACTCAGTTTCTCCTCGTCAATGGAATAAACATTATTTACGGTGCCTAATCCATAATCCATGATTCACTTGATTCCCTTCACAACACATTTCCTAACTTTTCACATAATGACGTCATGCTTCCTACGTTTTATTTATTTATTACATACGCGCTGTAATCTGCCATTCAGCAGAAGCACTTTAGTGATTAGTAAACTTTTCTGTTTTGTTTATCTTTTAAAAGAATAAGGACAAAGCACAAAAGAATTGATGTTCATGTATCAAAATAGAAATACTGTATGCTCTGTGGTGAAAATATTGATACGAGAGAAGCTTAAGAAAAACCCTTGTGATCTGAAGAAAATCAGCCATTAATCACTTGTAATCGACAATTATTTAAAAACCTTTATCTTTTTAAATACTCAGCAAACTAATTAATATTGAGATAATCTTTTGATTATCATTCCTATTAAACAACACATTCAATTAGAAAATTGACATAAGCATCGATAAATTATTTGAAAATGGGAAACTGATTCTAAATTTAACTTTGTTAACATATTATATTCTTTGATAGTCAACATAAATATGAAGGTATCGTAATTCTGCTTTCGAATTTCAAGAAAGTACTATGCCATTCAACAAAACAACATGAAAGATAAGTTGATCTATCATTTCTCAAAGTATTTTCCGGTTTAATAATTAATAATTTTTGATTGAGATCATGAACCTAATGATGTTAAACCACCATTGAAAACCTGGAAGTACTGGACGGCCGTTTCGTCCTATCTTGGGATTACTTGGCAGTGCACATACACGATCCCACTCGCGGGATCCGAACCCAAGGCCTTCAGTCTCGCTCGCGAACGCCTAACCTCTAGACCACTGAGGCGGCATCCAACAATGGTAATGTCTAACTTCAACCAGTCCATGTTTCCAATGATGGTCTTGCTTCAAATGACTCGTCAACTCAACTGTAAAATTACTATAACATCTAGAAAAACTCCCTTCTGATAATAAAATATTATTAATAGTATTGTTGACATTTCGTTGAGTTTTATTTGAAAACTAATAGTCTCTCTGTACAATAAGTCGGTTGATTGTAATAACAAAATCGATAAGTAAAAATAACTTTGGGATAGTAATTTATCATTTAACCTATTCTTTGATATATATATATACATAAAATAGCCTTTTGCATGTATTTAACCGCTAAAGTTATAATACGAGGTATTTATGATAACGCCTATTATGTGACTTGTGCAATAATTTATTGGTTAGATATTAATTTCCTGAAATTGACTAACCAGTTTTTTTTCATGGTTTATTAATTATTTTTGGCTAACGTTAAGTAATCTGTTAATAGTATATGATGAAATTTGTCATAAATAATTTCTTTCAGGTGAAGCGAAAAATCTATGTTAACATCTTAGTTATCAGATGGATAACTGGATGACCGATTAAATGACCGTGAATGGAAACGCTTTATCATTATTGATAAAGAGTTATCGAATTCGACAAGTATCGTATTTATACCAATTTTCAAGAATACCAAAGATTGAATGGGTTAAAATGTCGATAAATAGAATTATTAGAACGGTGTACTTAATTTGTGTCTGAAAAAAAGATAGCTTAAACGTTGATAAATCTACCGTGGTTGCATTTATGCAATAGGAAAGGTAAAATGCTTTAATTGCTGAGATTCACACTCTCAAAAATACATAAAATCACCTAGAATTTATGTCTAAAAAAATAAAACATTTAATTAAATATTTAATTTTAACCAGTCACTGTTTTCACTTTGGTATCTGATCAGAGATTTTTATTTCACTGTTATATATTACTCACTTGGTTATTTCCGAAAGAGTTTATGTCTTATTTCATTCTATGTTATTATTAAATCATTGGAACAGAAATCGAACATAGCCTCAAATTGCTTACCTTGCCAAATTGACTAAAGTATTCACTTAATTCTTCATTTGTTGTTTGTGTTGCAACTCCACCGATGAATACACGTTTAGTTTTTGTAGATACCTATAATAGTAACAAAACAGATATCTTTACAAATCGGTAGAAAAATATGAGAGAAAAAAAAGGAGAAACTACAAAAAAAAGATTTTTAGCATGGAATTTGCAATGCACTGTGCATGTGTATACACACATAGTTATACAGTGTCTATTTGTACAAGAAAAACAGACAAACTTTTTCTTCCTTTTTATGCATAGAATATGGGTACTAAACTATATTTTCAGATCTAATTTCATCTTCCTGATGTTTAATAATAACTCCTTACTTTTGAATAAGAAACTTAATCAGTAGGATAACAGTTATTTTATGTTACTGTTTATACCATTTTATTTATTTATTTGGACACATAGATATTGGTACAAGAGGGCACCAAATATATATGCACCACACAAAACAATGAGAATTCGAAGATAAGGAAAAAAATGAAAAGGTAAGGAGCGTTAAAAAAAGAACAATAACGAACAGATTAGTGTAAGGTAGTGTAATAATAACAATAATAATGGGGGAAACAGAAACGTACAATCAGAAGAGATCTTTCAATTAAGGAAGAAGCAACCACTTTTTCTGTAGAAAGTAAAAGAAGGTTACAGGAGGATCGCCACTGGCTCCTATTCTGAGCCATATCTGATAACTTCTCTAGCCACTGTGTTTCACCATCTCTCGGACCCCAGCCAGGGAGTCGTGAAGGACCAAAACAGGCCAGCCCTTTGCAGCTTTCTTTCATACCACGACACCACTTCATACCTAGTCAATTATGTAGTCTAATGTAAATCTAATTTTATGTGAAATTTTTTTGTTTAATTTTAAATTTTGTCGTTTTTTACCCATCCAAATAAATAAGAACCATATTTATTGAAATGTGTCAATAGTCAGTTGATTTTTATTTATAATGTATGATATAATACCTACCAATCATTTGTTCTAAATTTCCTTATTGTAGCATTAATCAATCATCACAAACATATAAAATTACCTTTACCGCTTCATGTGATTGCTTCTAGTAAGCAGACTTATAATTAGAAGAAATTAAACTTTCAATTGCCAACTAAAACATTTACTTATTTAGATAAAATCATAGCAGGAACCTCTCGAATCGACAATAAAATTTATCAAAAATATATATATCATCGATTGAAGTCATGAGTTCTAGTATGGGACTCCTCAGCAGTGCGCATCCATGATCCCGCCCCCGCGGGATCCAAACCCAGGACCTATCACTCTTGCGCCAGGGTTCGAATCTCGCGAGGGGCGGGATCGTAGATGGGCACTGCTGAGGAGTCCCATACCAGGACGAAACGGCCATCCAGTGCCTCCAGGTTTTCCAGGGTGGTCTAGTTTCAATCGACTTATGATCTCAGCCATTAAAATCACTATATTGCACACAAAACACCTTCTGATAAAAGCATATATGTATATTAGTAATAAGACAAAATTACTTAGTTATTTAACTACACCACAAGATTTTTGATTTATTTCTACATTTAAAAAATATTAGTTTTCTTAAAAATTCAGTTCAAATATTCAACTCATATAATAAACGTAAAGTAACCATATATCAATAACGACTGAAATGTTCAATAACTGAAAAAGTGGAAACTAAATGTACATTATGAAAATATTTATAGTATTGATTTTGATTACTAATACATCAAGAAATCGATCATTAGAATATTCTTTTGGAGAACATAAGATGTTTAACATTATGATAAAAAAATATCACATAATATGATACCATCTGTAGATTATGACAAAGCGTGAAACATTCTTTTCGAAAAACGTTATACATCAAATAAAAGATAATTTGATAAAGTATGTTACCAAGAAATAACTAGATTCAAATACTATTCCGCCTAATCAAAGGCAGTCTACTAATGATAGCACCTGTAGTTTTTACTTCTCATGTATATTAATCAATTAATAATCACATTCAATACTGATTATTGCATTATCAGTCAGTTTATGAATGTAAAAAGAATAAATCTTTTCCTAGAGGACAGTTATTCTGATGTAATTTACTTGTATAATAACTTTTTAGTTCAATGTGTACTTAGTTAAGTAAAGCATTACCTAAAATTAAAATGAATATCTTAATTTAATAAACATTAAGAATAATTACAGATTGAAAGTTACTCTCTCTAGAAAATCAATTAATTTGTTTTGTTACACTTATTAATAAATAAGGATTTTTAGGTATTGAGTTCAGGTAAAATACGTTAGACTACTTTAAATTAAGTTCAAGGGAATGTTTACGACAAATTTAGTTAAGGTAAGATGATGCTTACAAGATTATGTTAGCATACTACGTGAACGTCGTATGAATTTAGTAGTTATCAGGTTTTTGCTTTCTATGTTAAACATGACACATTTGTCTTTTATGTAAATGAAGAATATTATTGAAAACACGATGTAGCCCATGATCTGACTCCAGTTGATTACTGTTGAGATATACATACCTCCAATCCTCATATATAATCATCGACTTCACTCGCGTTAGTGAATAACAGTTAAAATAAGTAAAATACAAGAAAGGATTTTAAATAGTACATTTTGTACAATCATTGATCCAGGCAGACAATCAAAGGAACGAAGCTAAAGGAAATGGTGCACAGTGGAGAAGGCATGTGAGCCAACTCAATTTAATCAAGCGTGAACCAATATTTATAGACACATAAAATGAAGCTATAGACATTTGATGGGTAGAATAAGATGTGTATACAAATACGCTCATATAAAAACAGTCAAGGTTGACAATCGAATAATTAACAAGGTCGAAACGTGACTCAAGAATAATGGATAAGTTGGCCTGTCCAGGAACTAGAATAAGTTATATTGGCTTAACGTAACAACCGACACTACAACGACGTTAATACGAAAACGTATGTAGTTTAGACAAAAATAAGTAAAAACGAAATCCATAACGTTTAAGTAAACTTTTATACATAGAAAAAACCAAGGAAAAAATAGTGTTTATATAAATAGTGATTTATCAAATTGTTTAGATCACAACAAGGAGAACATATGAAAACTAGCATTTAAAAAAATCTTCCATCATCATTTAAAAATTCACAGAAGTGCATTTTATGGGACAATAATATCCTGAAGAGAAAATAACATCGACATTTTTGTGGAAACAGCATTTATTAGTTATTATTTTCTGACATTATTCAGCTGACTAACCTACTACCATTCAGTTCAAACACCATCTAGCTAATGAGTTCAGATAAACAAATAGCCATTTGTGTAACGGTGATGATTTTTAATTTGTGAGTAGTTATTTACTCATTACGTTTAATACATCATAAATACAACATTCAAAAAAAAGATGCCCTATAAAAGGTGTCCACTAGAACTCAAAAGTTTGCGAGTCAAACGTAGTCAATGTAGGACATGGAATAAATGTGTATCGGGTCAAATTGCTACACATCACACTAGAAAAGTAAGAAAAGAAAATGATAGGACGTAAATCAAATAAGAAAACCTAGTTTTACCTACAATAAACATTAAATAATGAGAAATGCAGAAGTAAAAGAAACGATGAAGAATTAAGAAAACAATTTTCGTCAGGTTTTAAAGGAAGAGAATGGATAGAGTTGAGCCAAAACCGCTGACTTTCTATTATACCACTTAACATCTCTACCTACTTACTTTGAAACCGCATCTATTGATATACTACAAACCAACAGCAAATAATTTTATGGACTATCATAATTTCTTGGTGATTTTGACCCTTGATTTTTTATAACTGTGCTCGTGGCAGTGGAAGTACTGATATCTACAACTGACAGTATAATCCAGGACGTCCATTTCATCCTGTTTAAGACTAGTCATCTGTATGTACCTGCATTCAAGTTTTAATGTTTACAGTAAGATTAGAATCCAGTATACTGTCAAGTTTATTATCTACTGACTATAAGGTGAACATTTTAAATATTTTATGCTTTTTTAATTTTTTTCTACTGGTAAACTACCTTAAAATTAAAAAAATCCATAAGACATATATAGTCACTTTACAAAATAAACATAATTTCATCCATAATCTCTTTTAATTATTGACAGTATAAAAACAATATTTCATAACCTAAGTAAAAAAGAACACAAGATCTATGGTTAAGTTGAACACATTGAACTATGTGGAGCCAAATCAAAAATGAATAGTCAAAGATTATTCATTACTATAATATAATAATTAACGAGCTCAAACTATCTCAATTATTTCTGAATGTAGAAATTAAAACAAAAACAAAACAAAGTAAGGATAATATATATTTAGAATGAACCAATAATATAGTTTCAGCAATTGAGATCATGAGTCTATTGAAGCTAGACCACCATGGAAAACCTGGGAGCACTAAACGACCATTTCATCCTATTGTGGAACTCCTCAGCAGTGCGCAGCCATGACCCTGCCTCGTGGGGTCTTAAACGAACTATAGTTAACATTATAGTTATACAATTGATAAACTCATTGATTATTACAATATTCTAGACATGTATAGAATGTCTAGTTCTTGTCATCTATTTATTTCTAAGTTATGTAATATAAAATTTATGAATGTAAATGATTTGCAAAAGCTTATGATTCATTGACATTTTATTAAAAACTGTGGCGCAACTTCGTGGATTGGTTGAAGTTAGACATTAACATCGTTGGATGCCGGCTCAGTGGCCTACCTGATTAAGCGCCTGGAGCGAGACTGATAGGTCCTGGGTTCGAATTTCACGGGGGGCGGGATTGCGGATGAGCACTGTTGAGAAGTCCCATTCTAGGACGAAAGGGCCATCCAGTGCCTCCAGGTTTTCCATGGTGGTCTAGTTTCAATTGACTCATGATTTAAACCAGTGAAGTTTATTAAAAACACTTCATTAAATAACATAATCAAATATGTTATTATCTATTTTTGTATAGTATAGAATTAAATGTAACTGGTAACTAGATGCACTTATTATATCCAAGGTCAATATTACTAAGCATATTGATATTTTTGTTGCTGTTGTTGTAATTAAT